GGAGGAGTGCCTCCTAACACTGACATTCTGAAATTCTGAACATTCTGCAGAAGATTTGGAACGAAAAGAGACTACCAGCCGAACCGAGTTTCTCGACTGTCATCCCAGTTTCCAAAAAGAGCCCAAGAAAGTCATATGAAAACCGTCGTGCTTTCAGCCTGATATCCGCCGCACCTAAGGTGCTACCTGGCATTATTTCGCGCAGGTTGATAGATGTTCGGGAGAGACAGATTCGTACCAATCAAGCTGGGTTTCGCCCTGGTCGAGGATGTATCGACCATATCTTCGACTTGAGACCAATTCTCGAATAGCGCCACTCCTTCAGACGTCTCACGTTGGTCGTGTTTCTAGATTTGAAAGCAGCTTTTGATTCTGTCGATCATTAGCAACTTTGGCAGTGTCTGGCAATCAAAGTTGTGTCTTCCAAATTTCTCTCCCTTATGATCGCACTGTATGCGAACTCCTATGGGTGCGTACGAGTATACAGCAAACTTTCGCCTGAGTTCATCACATCCAGTGGTTTAAGACAGGGCTGCACTCCTTCATCTTCAACTTCGTTATGCTGCTAGAAATCTCTTTGCCTGCTTCTGAAACCTCGGGAGTCGAAATACTTCTGGGACGTACGCTCACAGACATTGAGTATGCAGACGATATCGTTCTCCTTGGTTCAGATTCTTCCCAAGTGCAAGCGATTTTAAATGACCGAAATAACTGCCGCACAGCTTGGCATGCGCTTCACCACTGCAAAGTGTAAAGTGCTGCTACAAGACTGGGTGGGATCAAACCCACACCTCATGCTTGTAAGGAGCCAGTCGACGCGGTAGATAAATTTGTTTACCTGTGATGCTGTGTAAGTCCCGGTGGACGGGCTGGAGATGAAATTATTTCTCGAATCGGGAAAACCAAGACAGCTTTTGCCAACGTCTGTCACCTATTGCGCCTACGTGACGTTTTTTTGTCAAGGGAAGAGTTTATACTTCGGTGGTGCGATCCATATTGCTTTATGGATCAGAGATGTGACCCCCTATGCACAAAGGACATACAGAACCTGTCAGTGTTGGATCATCGTTGTCTCCGCAGCATTGGTCAGGTCTGGTGGGATTAGTAATGCTGAGGTACACCAGATGGTATTAGGAAGAAGAAACTCCCCCGTGCTACATGAATTACTCACTTTATAGGTAGCGCTGGTTGCAACATGTACTCTGCATGCCAGTAGTCCGTCTGACTCGAAGAGCTCTTTGTTCCCCGTCCTGTGCTAAATGGAAGCGACCAAGAGGTGGACATTGTATAACCTGACAATGAAGTGTGAAAACACTAACCGGTAAACTTAGTCGGGTGGGCAAATGCCGCCTCCCTGGATTGGGACCCCGGGACTCAAATTACTAGTGGTTAATAACATTGGTGGAAATGACCCAATCGCGCAGTCAGTGGCGCTCGTGCATCAAAGCTACCGCCTCCAATGCGCAGCTGTACAATTCCCGAACCAACTGAACGTGCCATCGCCTCCAAAATTTGACAGTATCTCCCACACTCTCCCACTTTCCGGTGATCGAAACCGTATCAGCTGGAACCAATGTAGCTATGCAACGCGTTTTAAAACAAACCGGGTAGGCTTAAGAATCCTGGTAGTATCTCGGTCCTCATGCATCTTCTAATGGCATTGCCGCTGTGCTGAAAGTGTCGCAGCTTAACGACTATTAGTGTTATTGTTATATTTTCTGTGACTTCGCCGATGACCCTACCCAGAGGCCGATGTGACATGGCGTTATTCAAAGTTGTGAGAATCATGATTGTTCGCGAGCTGGGATATTGCCAAGGGCACCCAAACCTCAATCGTCACTGTAACCGGTGATTTGACAAAAACATTGAGGTCTCCACTCAAACTCTGGCTCAAAAATATGACAACACAGTAGTGACTTTCGGCGAGAAATAACAACGCTTGACATTTTAACAATCAAGTTGCAACACCCGCCCCAACTCCCAAACTGGAAGAACACGATCAACTTGGTATTAGAGACCCTGCGAAGGTTGCGCGGACACCTCTCACTACAGCTCAGTGAGTCCCGGAGGCACACAAGCTGTCACACCGCGGTAAGGTCCAATCTAAGTATTCAGTGATCAACACTCGAAGGCAGCTTTCAAGTGGAAGCCATGTTGCTCCACTCTGTCGGGAAGTGAACATCGTGCCACTATCTCCTCTTGCAGGACGGAACACAACTTGTGCTTCACGGCTTATGGATCCCTGAGCCATGTTTAATCGTCTTACGGATGAGGCTCTCTGACCGTAGGCTCTTATTGAGGTTTCTCATGTTTGTCCCTATCCCTTGGGTGACAAGTCACAAACTTATTTGATTTGTGCTCACGTTCTTATGTCGCTGTCAACTCAAGCATTGTCGTTCTCTCCCTATGTGCGAAAAAACGTCTATAAAATTCCTTTTCCTAATGAATTTGTTCTAAATCCCCCCACGTTTTTTGTATGCATCCGAACTTTCTTCCTCTGCATCTCACAGGTTTGTAATGGATAGGCTTGTCTTTTCCATTGTTCGTACACAAATGTATATACACCAACAAGCCGAGTCGGATTGGGCCTTAGCAACAGCTAAAGTTGTACGTTACCTCAGGGACACGCTTATGTCGCTTAATTGAGCGGTTCCTCTGTCCATTTGTGCGTTATTTTGAAGGCGTCGCAACCACGGTGGTAGACAGCACAGAGATTGTTATTGCTTAGTTTGGCAGAGAGCTCATGAGATTGGGTTCAAGTTTCCAATCTATTATGCTGTATTAGAGTATGATTTTACTCTAAGCTGGGCCAGTATTAGCGAGAGACTCCCTGTTGTCACTTAGCGAAATATTGTCTTTTGCTCATTCCATTTTAAATGTCCAAGCGCCTGCAGGAAAAAACCCGTGGACATCCGATTGACCAAAGATACTACGAATATTTTGACCATTATATCGATAACGTAGTTACCGAACAATGACATCCTTCTTCGTCAGGATCGCAGTGGAATTAAAGTTCTACTGCCAAATGAGACTACTCCTGTCCTCTGTTGAGGGCGGGAAAGATTGTCCTATGTTAAATTTCACACGCTATCTCTTTTGGGGGAACTCGTGGTTCAGCTGAGTCTGTCGATTTAATCCTCTATCAGAGCACTGTTGTTGGCGTCTTGTATGATCGTGATACTCGTAACCGAAATTTCATTTGAACTACCCAAAGCAGGATTCAGCAGTTGACTAAAGCGTTCCATCCACCTGATAGTTTCACTATTCCGGTCCGTGACAAGCTGTGCTGCCGCATCAATTTGGTTGAATTTTGAGGATTTCTTTTTTATGTGAACCACTCACCAAGGTGGCACGCTTGGTCGTCGCGTCAGATGTGGCTTCAGCTTTCGGTTTAGGGGCACGATTTTCGGTGCTAACCGTCCTGACATAACATAATACTTATGGGGTTTCTGAAGACTTCGTTTTTTCTGAGACTCAAAAGATGTTCCAATTGAGCATCAAATTTTACGACGGAACACTTATTTGCAAATTGCACTGGTATTTACAAGAGACCCTACAGAATCCTATTCATGGGAATCTTTGGCCGAATGTGCCACACTACGGCCGCTCTGTGTTTCAGTTGACGCAATATTCAAGGTATCCGCGTATATCTTCCTGGCATACTATGCTCCGCACAATATTGCTGAAAATTCTTTAGATAGGCTTAATTCACGAAATTCCACTAACGTAATGTTTTAATTGAACACATTCATTTGGACGGCATCACGAACAGGAGATTCATGTATTTACCTTTAATACCAAAGTAATTTGCCAGTGGGTGTGCTTCGTCGAGCTACTCAACGCGTAGAGTAGCCGGAATGACCTATTGATATTGCATTTCTATGGTGTCATATTTTCACGGATCGTTTAGCCACCCGGTGGTCTATTTTTCACTAGCTTACCTATTGTGCTCCTCTTTTGCTTCGAAGCTATTTTGTATTTCTATTTCTCCAACACCCCATTCCCTATTTGTCTCAGCGGTTGGAAGAATTCATTGCGGTATCTTCCGCCTATCCCTCAAACGCATCCCAAGACACCAAGCAAACAGCCTTTTGCTTCCTAGCCGCACGCAAGTTTTCCGTGGCGCAAGCTCTCGAACTTTACCACAATTATAAGGTTGGTATTTGTGGGTATTGTCTCTGTTTACACTGTTGTCTACTTCAATTAGGCTATGCTATCCCGTGAAGGAATACCAGACGTTATAGATCCTTTCGACGAGGAAACCAGACGGGAGTTGTTGTCTGGGAAATTTGTAGTTCTGGTTGGTTCTCCGTTTCCGTGTGGTACTTACAACCTTCGATGTGTCCTTCAGAACGATTCAGAAACCTCTGGTGTTAGGGTTGTTCAGTACTTCGTGCGGTTGCATCATGCATCACACAACCCTCGGGCTGTGCTTCAGAGTATCCTGTTTCAGCTGGATGCAGTAATGAAAAAGTGAGTTTTTGGCTTGCGCTTTGTTTTGTGTCTCCTGGCTGACTGACCACCAACATCTTTTCTAATGAAATATTTTAACCACCAAGGGGTCACTTCTGAGTGAACCTGAACTAAAATTCATGTTGGGACGTTGTTTTTCCCTCTGCTGTTCAATCCGCCAGCCGTGATTAATCACTTTCCACTCCTTGCTCCCTCGGGTCTCTACTTTGATCAGCATAGCCTTATTTTATTTGAATCACGTGACCAGTGGGGCCAGAACAGTTAGAGTCAAACACTGCTTACAGGATGGTGCAAAATGTAATACGTCTGTAGTTTCTTGTGATATCCTTCCAAAGACAGGCCACCCTGCCCGTGCCTTGAGACAGAAAATGATGGAGAAAGCCGTAGGTGGTTTTCGTTAATGGATATTGGTCTATGAGCACCAGGATGAAGGCCATTCATCGAAAATGCGGAGATTTTTCCGGCATTTAGACAGCTGCGTGTAGAATGTAAGTGTTGAATGTAAGTGCAGTTTTTGGAACTCATCCAGCACGACGTCTTCGAATGTTCGACAGGACCATAGCTCGTGCGGGCTGGTGTCGGAGAATCAGTAACCAGGCAATTAGAAGGCGAGTTTTGGGTTATGCAGTGAGGACTTCCACCAAAAGCTGCGTTGATTAGGCCGCGTATGCCGACATATTGTTTGCCTAAGAGGGTGCTGTTTTCCATGCTCACTTCAGTGGCGGAACCAGAAAGGTGCACAATCCTTGAACTGGCACAAGGGTATGAAGGAGATTACGAAACGTTTGGGTGCTGTCGGTGCTACTCCACTTCCAGGATGGGAACCGCGAGATACCGATTGCGCCTGGTTGGAGACGCTGCAAGATATGGCTAGCAATCGATGTCAATGGCGTTCGTGTTGTCAGTTTCTATCCAGATTGTCTGAGTGAATATCTGGAGGTGTAGGCACCTCGGCATGATTGTAGTAAGCTCGCACTAAGTCCCTTTTCTGTCCAATTTTTTTCTTTTTTACAATAAACTTTAAAATGAATCATGCGTGTACGGAAGTGAAGCATTGGTTTGTCATGCTGTCGATGGCGATGATGATGGCGACCTTGATGTCTACACAGACCGTATTTCCTTTGGCTGCTCGTAATAGTTCAACCCCGATAACATCTTGTTGTCTGTTCCTAACCAGGGATTCCTCAGTTTTTTCCATGATAGGTGATCGTGAAACAGATTGAAGGGCACACTTGTGTTGCTGTGATGGTACTGTTGTCTTTCCTAAAATTAACACTGACGTGTTAATCTGTTTAGTTTGTACGGAAAATAACTAAAGCTTTCTTGTTTCACCAAAATACGATCAAAATAAATAAATCACGCACTCTAGTGACTTGTGTCCACCGTAGATGTAAAGCATTCTACTTGTAATCACAGTCGAATTGCATATTGGGGCGTACGTTTCAAAACTCCGTCCAACGTTTCATCCATCCTGGTTCAACAGTTGTGTCCGTGACCGATGTTCATAGCATATCTCCTCTCTTATACGCACAGGGAAGTTGCTGCACGAAACGGCCTGGTGTTCATATACGACATGACGGATGCGAAGTTCTCCAACATCGATTGCACCTTAGGTATCAAGCTATTCAAAATCCTCAAGGTGAGTACCTTATCAGTTACGTTATTTGGTGGCTTTGTGTTGTATCTTGAGGTGGCCGAGCTATTCGTTACGCCTGCACTGAGCCTGCCAGACTACGCGATAGGGAGAAGACAGAGAACTGGGAACACGGCTGTATTGCCAAGACAAAACATACGGAACGTCTGCTTAAATATATAGAATGACTAATCGGCCAAATATGGTCGTTCACTTGTTTGCTCCGTACAGCCAATGGTGGTGTTCCGGTCGTGAACACTCTCAGGCCCACTGCGCTGGTCGTGTGTTGCTAAGCCGTGTTTGGTGTGAGCCGCCGGAGGTGTCGAACCGATGGTTACCTTGGGGATGCCTCACTTTCTGCACATGTGCTTTTTTCTTCGTCAGGGCGCACCCTGACACTTTGTTTTTGATGCCGACCTTTCAAGGATCCGATGCTTGTCTTTTTACCGAACTGCACACCTTCCAGCTTTAGCTACGTCGCCATGCTGCTCGAGAAGGAATGCATCCGATGGCTGTCAAGCTCCTCTTTTGGAGAATGGTTTATTTCGATCATACTTAGTAAACGTTCTCCTTATTTCTTTCTACCTGTTAGGGTGCAGTTGATGAACAGTCCTCATTTATCGTTCAAGTGTTTTACACCAGGTTGATGGGCTCGGAATATCACTGGACAATGCTCCTCTTCACTAGGATGCAACGTAAGCGAATTAGCTTAGGCATTGTGGCATGCTTGGGACGATGTATCCAACCGCCCTTTAACCCTCTATGGTGAAATTTGGTCGAAATCGCTTCTACCGCATATAGTGGTGACGATGTTGGGACGGGAAAGCAGTTATACGTCCGTGGAGTAATACACTCATTCGCCAACTAACGTGGTGTTAACTGGATACTCAACTGAGTATCAGCTGAATCCTTCGTTTACAGGTACTTCCAATGGAGTATGCTTTATGAAGGCTGCTTCATGTTGCATTTGGAACAACATTTTGGGTGTCGAGATATTTTCTCGAACGTGCACTACTCATGAAGTTTTCAGCAACTTTACATGTGGTATTGTGTCAAAAAGTTATATATTCTGTTCGGATGAACTTTAATCACGTTGGTAGTCGATCACCCGGAGAACCAAGTGGCAGTGTGGTTAACTTCTATCTGGAGAACTGCAATTTATGACCACCCTCTAGTTTTGTATGGTACAACAGGGTCAGGGTTTCCCTAGCAAAGTCTTGAATTGAGACTTTCTAATCAACAAACTTGATGTGAAACTACTGACCGGAAAGTTCGTGGTTCGAATCCAACCATGGCTTTGCGGTTACTCCTGTCTGGATTGAGACAACCTGGCAGTATCTCAGTCCTCGTGTTTCCTTCGAACTGGACAGCGTTGTGCATCACGGCCGTCACGGCTTGACGATTTAATCACTAAACTATAAGAAATTCGATAGCTTCTTTATTGGTTTGGCGCCCAATTTAGATTTCCTTAGGAATCTAGTCATAAATGAGTAGTCGTAATCGATCCTAAATGTTAACACGAGGCAATCATGATCATCACCATGCACTTGATGATGAGTGCCAGGCTAAATTAACCGCGTGGTAGACTGTTCCTTCAGGACCAACCAATTACGGTTTCGGATTTCAGCTTTCAAAATCCTTAGGCCGATGGGCCGTTAACCATCAGGACCTCGTTGCGGACTGTGAAATCGCTTGAGACCATGCTGAATATTCGTTAGCAGCCACATTCTAAACAGACTTCGACGCCCAGCGGCAACCTATTGAGTTCATATCCTCCATGGGCGCAATTGAAATCAGTGGCCGCTCGGTGTTCGTGATCGAGAGTGTAAACTTTGAATTGGAACAGCAGACGATCGAATCCTGATTTCCATCTCCAGACTAGTTCTACTCAAAGGTTACATGCCAATTTTGTACACAGCTCCGACCATTGGGGGAAATATGATTTTGATCAATAGTCTTATCTACTTGATAACAAAAAGAAAAATACGGAAATTTCCATCTTATCGCCATCCATACACCATCTCGATGTTCTTGACGTGGTGTCCTATGTCTTAGCCTGTTAAGCTTCTCTTGCGTCTGTTAGATGCACCTTGCATTGCACTGTCGTTCATGCCTGTCTGATGGTCCGAGTTGCGTGGCACCGTCGTGTGCTGAAATCACCATCACTTCGCACACACACACACACACACACAGACACACACACACACACACTTTCTTATTCGTTTTCGTGTCCCTGCCGACAACTGATAAGTTCAGATAGATTATTCACAACCAGCCGGTGTGTTTCCTCCATTCCCCAGCCTGCTGACTGTCATAACAGGTGTTTTGAATTTCGGTCTGTGTTTGACTACGGCAATGCCCACATGCAGTCGCGTTTCACGCCCGGTGGATTTCACAGGATGTAGTGGATAGTGATTTTAAGCCTAAACAGCTTTTGGGTGGCTAGTCCACCAAAACCCGTTAGGTTGTGTGCATCCTATCGCATTCGCGACTGGCAGCGAGCTAGCTAGACCCGGCTAGCCTTGTTTTTAGCAATGCTTTATGAAGTTCGTCACGGACTTTTGCCTTTTTCGACTCAAGACCCTTTCCTCTATTTTGGAAACGAATAACGTCCGTGCGTGATGTTAGTACCGATGACGTGTTATCCTGTAAGTGAAATCACTTTCACTAGAGAGCTGCTTCAGTCTTGTTAGAGTTCATCCTCAAATCATCTCTATAGTAAATAATAATAATAATAATCGTCCAGCTGTAACACCCTTCCGGTGCCTAGCAGCCATGCCAGGTTGCCCAAACCTAGACAGGAGATGTCGAGAGGCAGAGGTCGCGTTCGAACCACAGACCTTCCATTTCAGTAAATCGCACTCTAATCACTCGTCTCTAAAGCCGTTCGAATCGCAATTTGTCTTTTAGTGGATGACCCCTACACAGTTCGGTCACAAGAGCCTGATCAATCATGGATTTGATGGAATATGTCATCGTTTTTTAATCGTCTACTTGACCTAATCTCTGGTTCCTCGATGACGAGTTTTTAGGTGGAACGCATGTGCGATTTGTGGAATGTTTCTCTTTTCTCAGCAGGTTATTTATATTTCGCGGATAGCGTGAGGATTCTTTGAAGTTCTCATCGAAATTTCCTCCGGCACATTATACTCCCACAATATTTTCACAATTCCCCATGGTATGCTTCTTTTTCCATTCCCATGTCACGTTTCCAGTTGAAACTGTACTAATGTCGCATTTTATTCATTTCCACCGAATTAAAGCCTGTCATTTGAGGGGTGTTCTTAGTACGGACTCGCTTGTAATGCGTCGAGGGCCTCAGAAAGATGCCGTAAACAATAAGGCGAGCAGACTGGGACAACTTAAAACCCAAACCTACTCTGCCTGCGTATATATCCTTTAGAACACCACTTTAATGTATACACACACGTGTATATATCGCTCTTTTTGTTTTCTTTTATTTTTATTTTTCGTTCTTCCGCATTCCAGTCCAGCTACCCAGTCCGGTTACGACGAATCCTCATTCTGACAGCTCCTCTCTGGTTCCGCGCTTCATTCCGGATGATGCGTGTGTTTATCCGCGATCAGCTGCGAGATAATGTGAATGTTTTGCGTCCATCACCAGGAACCAAGCTGGACGCCCTCAGTCATCCGGATTTTGTTGCTTTGAAGCGCGATCACCATGCGTGGCTACACACGGCCCTGATACGCACAGGCTGGCTACCGGGCGAGTCGGATCAGGTGAGTATCTTGACCGGGTTGCTATTTGTGCTTATTTCTAGTAGCCAATTCTGTGAGGGACCCAAGATATCTCAGTATGACACATTCAGCTGCTTTGCCTTGTAGAGTCAAGCTAAAAAAATTGTCGCTGAACCCATACTCACCTCTGTTTGTAAACCACAGTCCACGCATTCCGCACACTCACCCACGCATGTACACTGAGATGGTCCTTATCCATTGATGCGGCACACCCCGACTGGCCACCAGTTTTGTGGTTACGGAATGTGTCAGCATCATCCTTAGGAATTTTTCCGGATGTCGGACCAAACTGACCATTCTATACTCACTTGTGTGTGTTGCACCGTCTGCTTGTCACCTTCCTAGGTTTTGGTGTTGTGCTATGGGTTGTAAATGACAGCCGGCGTTTTTGCTCAGTCAGTTGGCTGCTGTGCATGCCACAGTTTGGCGATGCTCGGTGTCATTTTGATCTCTAGCGACAAGTTATCACAAGTAACTTACGGTAAGCAAGGGTGACGTTTTGGTGGACCTAAACATGGATGACGTGGATGAAATACGTGTGAAGAGATTTCCGATAAGAAACCGAGTTATGTGGCGGTTGAACGTCATCGGAAGAATCACGATATGACGTGGGATTCATTGAAAATATCCTGTTTAAACTAGCATATCTAGGGGTAGACAACCTGGCGATATTCGTGCCTCTTTCGAGTTTACGGCAACAGAGCACCGAAAAATTTTGACAGCTGAATTTTTTCCGGAGACACTGATTGTCAGCATTAAATATTTCATTACACCTTCACTACCTAGAGGCAACGCTTTGGATGCATAAAAAAGTATACACCTCATTGGTTGTTGCTCTGTTCGGCGAATTTGGCGGTCGGATTGCAATCGTTTCATCACCAATCGAGGTGGCATCGTCAGTGCAGGGTTGAGTGGGACCCAGCGCACCAGAGCTACCTATATTCCACAACGTTGCCAGTATAGACCTTACTGCTGCTGTGTGAACTCTGTCCTTTACATACAAACAGGCATCATAGTCTGTGGTTCACGCCTATCACATCTTCAAGATCTGGATTCTGTTCTACCCCGAACTGACCAAATCGTGGTCCTGATCTCATTCAGCTAGGACCCTGTGTGGAATCCTAGCAGAGCAACTGTACACAGGTCAGGAGTCCTCTGAATTCAGAATGCACCATTAACTGCTCTGAAACAAAAATGAAGGTGCGTCGGTCAAAATGTCTTCTCTAAAGTCATTAAGACTCTAGCAGTGGTTTGTGTGGGTTTTACGGATAAGCAATCTGAGAATATCATCAAAATCTTCTCCAGCTAGGTACTCAAATGGAATGGCTTGATAATTACGTCACGGAAACCTTCCGCGTTTTGTGTTTTTGATGTATTCAGTATTCTTGGGTTTCATTTCCGATGGATTTTGTCGCGCCACCGACCAAAATCCATTCATCTGCTGCCACAAGGTGCGGAGCTATGGGGGAGATGTCCCACTTTATATGTGCAACTAGGGCACTGTTCGAAACGGAGTAGATGAAATTCGTGTTTGGATGAGTAGAAAAGGTACCATAATCGTGAACCACACTCAAAATTTTGATAGTTCGGCCGCGTCGGCTGTCATCAATCCTCCCGTTATGTACGTTTGGCTCCTCTCCCGCTGTTCGTCGAAAAGTAGTCTTTCCCGAAAAGGTCAATTACCTCTCTCTTTTCTTCGGGGAGGAATGTCTATTGCTTTATTCAGTGAGATGTGTCTGTGTGCTTCAGTTTTATTTTTACTCTGTTCTTTCAGGTCACTCGACCGAATGGACACCGGTTCCAAACTGCGGCGGCTTTTTTCGGCCAAACGTCAACTTCCCAGTCTCCAGGTTCTGTTTCGGACTTGAGCGATCCAGACAGCAGGGAGGACGAGGATTCTCTGTCTGGAAACCCGTGGGATGAGGACGAACTTATGAGCGTTGGAGATTTGGACCCGTTCGCATTGTCCAGTTCCTACTCCAGCGAAACTGATTCGACCGGGTCTGCCAAAGTGAAGTCGGATCTAAGGACCTGCGACAAACGTGCCTCTCCACATGCGTCCGATATACATTTCCCAAGAGCTTCTAAGGTAAGATTGTGCTTCTACCATTTCCATCTCGACAACCAATCATTCTCCAGTTGTGGTTTTTTTGGTACCAGGTACAAACGCTTTGTATTTGTTCAGGTTGGGTTGTGGAGATGGACTGGGCTTCCTGTGATCTGCGGGTTTTTGTTTTCTAGCGCTCAGTTTACAGGAAGAAACCTTTATTTTCAGCTGGGGTAGATTGTTCAATTTGTCACCAAAGAGAAATCAAGTCAACAACTTCCACAATGCCACTCAGTTTATCCGTTATGATGAATTTGGAACACCAATACTTTAGTGTCAGAACCAAGCCAGTTCATCTGAAGCACAGCGATGTATCTGATCTTCGTCTCTCTGCAATTATTGTCCCTATGTACTGTTGCATCCGAAGGCTCTAGAAAATCAGTGAATCAACAGTCTAGTGAGGCACTCTATACGGGGTTGATATTTATTCGTCGTCGAATCAGGTCACTGTCCGAGTTCGTAAATATGACCTAGTACAGCGTCAATAGCGATCTAGCTGCCAAACAGTCTCGTCCAGAAACTGACAAAATTCCTTCCGTTAGTTCGGATCCATTGCCTTGAAGTTAGAACGATGCAAAGGCTACTTTTCTGGAGTCACCAATACTACGCTTATCTGGAAGGGATGAAGCCATCAGGTACGTGTGGCCGATCAACATTATGATCAACTCCCATTTATATGGGACACGATGCATCTGTTGCGGTTGACGTTAGGTGCTCTCATGTTGACGTCAGCCACGAGTAACGAATTCCCTGTTTAGGGTCGGTTTGGCTTGTGTTTCTTTTTCATTCAACGGTTTAGTTCCAACTTTAGGACGTTTATTAGATCGTCGTTTAGCAAACCAATCAAATCGCTGAAGCTTGAACACGTTCACTTAACCAGATGTGTCAATACAGGTGCGTTCAACATACGTTGGTGTGGTGGGCAACAGGCTCCCCCACATATTCTTGACGCCTGAAATTCACACCTTTGTGTGACCAAAAGTGTCCTTTGAGGTGAGCTCTTATACAAGGTGGACTCGAGCCCAGTGCACTGCTTCTTTGGTTTGGACTCTTCAGATTGGTTACGCTTAGACGAGAAGGGGAATGATCGACGATGCGGGCTACTTATATTTTGTAAGTAGTAAGAAGGTTTTGAAGCTTCAATTCTGGGTTTCTCGCAAGCTGAGTCGTCAGAAAAATTCTGTACAGCTGTTCCCTCCTTGCTGGGAATCTTCAGCGGTGTCTGTCTCACGATTTCTGAGTGGGGTTTGACCCACTAACCTCCTTTCTTAGTGCAACCGAACTTTCCAGTTCACAGCATTACCACAAAAAGTTCAGAAATTTCCCAAGGCGACTTATCACTTCTACAGACAATGCCGAACACAGCTTTAGCAAGCAATCATAATTCCTAAAACTTTTAGTGTTAGATGTGGCTGGCTGTGGTGAGCTCGCTGTGACGGGCTAAGCTACCAATTCTGATGTCCTGCTATATGGATGATACGGACACTGCAGGGACATCTGATTAGCGTGGCGTGCCAATACAGAACTGAGAGTTAAGTTACTGTCAAGGGGACTGTCAGTTGTTGGGCAGCTCAGCAAACTGAACAACCATAACGGCTAATCGTCGTGTTGAATCTTGTCACCAATTCTCCACGATTAACAAGTAGCAGGTCAAAGAGATGAAACGGAACTTTTGTGAGTTGTATTATGAAGACGCAATACGTGATCGATTTTGACGTCACACCTTATTCGGCCAAATTCATTTCGTTGCAGCTAGCCAAATAGAGAAGTAGTATTTTTGTTGGCATATGCGTTTTTGCTACTGTGATCGCCTGGTGACCGTGACGTATTAATGCTCACAAGTTTGTGATAGGTCAACTACATGCCAACACGAGTGCGGTATCGGAATAGGATTAGCTGAGCTACTGGTCCGTTGCAGTCGTTACTGTGATGCCTCAGGCAGTCGCATCTAATCCGCCCTGCTCGCATCACATGTCACCTACTCCATAAGGTTACGGGACGAGAATGCAGGAAAAGTGGTGTATGGCCACAGACGAGCAACTGGTGCAGTTATGAAGTGAAGTTCAGTTTATCGGCACTGTGATGACCGGGCATCATAGAGTTTTTCGAGTTGCCGGAATCACCATTATCTTCATCTCGAAATTACCTAAGAGTGATTACTCTGAAACAGACTATGGTCCATGTTCCCGGAGTGTTCGCTTCCGAGGGACGGTTGTGTATCGAGCAATGCGGTATTGATTAGTTCGTCGTGTGACTTCCCAGAGAAAGACCCACTCAAAAGCAAGTGATTTTTTTGAGTTTGGGTACTGTGTTTGGATTTCTCGAGTTGCCCCCGGATGCACTAGCTGTAGAGGGAAATCTTCAGAGACCCTCGATCGCTATCAAGAACTAGAACTTTCGCGCGAAGGAATTTGGCACTGAGCTTTCACAAGTCCTGAGCTGTAGCTCCTTCAAACGTACGCGGCAATTGACTGTTGGTCAGAAAGCTGCTTGTTCATTCAGGGAAATAGTCAGTTTTCCTTGCAGACATTTTGTCACTGATTGAGCAAACATCATTGGTGAATGGTTGAATGGTTGGTTCCTGCCTACCTACCACTCACTTTGAGAGGTATCAGATAGTCTTTGTAAACTACATAAATGTGAGCTTGTAAACAGGAAGCACTCACTCATTGGTGCACCGATAATATCCTCCAAATTGGAGACGAGCAGATTGCAAAGTTCGGCGAACAGACCAACAACCACCCCATCAACAATCAGCAAACGTACCCGACACAGTTTTTCGAGGCATTGATAATGCGGTGGTCTCCCCCCTCGTTGCTATTGTGGATCTCATTATGTCATTACATCAAGTCAAGTGCCAGTGCTCACCATCATTTCTCGTCTCGAGTGGAGTTCGGATGGCTGTCCGTCAGTCTCGTCCAACCAAACAGTCGGTTAAACAGTACAACACACTTAGCAGCCACATTTGGTTTAAAGATAGAGTCAGGAGTGCGTATTGTTGACTTTGGTGTCGATCCTCAAACTTTTACACAGTTGCTGTCTCTTGAAGCCAACGCTTCCAAACTAAAAATATATGCGAATATCCTTATGAACATGTTGACATACAAGTCGATAAGCTCCAATCCATTGTTATTGGTCCTGCAACTCCGGTACAAACATGAGTCCTATTCCATTCGAACTCCACTTAAAATACCCAGGCCCAGTGAAAGACGAAACAGATATGCGGTGACAACCTTAATCTGTCAGTCATTATCACGGCTGTTATCTGCGTGCTTGCTTGTGTATGGGTGCTTTGAATGTCTGCGTGTCATTTCGTTGCCTGCTTGCCATCTGCTCAGCATTCACATGCACTTGTTCGATTATCGATTTTTGCCACTAGTTCGCTCCTCATATATATTGTGTACGTTACTTGGCTGGCTGCTTATGGAGGGCACACACAGGATATTGATTATCCGAGAAGTAAGCCGTGTTTTTGTATTTTTCGTTTGTTCATTTCAATTTGTTTCACTTCAACTCAGGCTAATGTGTTGGCCTTGTCGACATGGTTATTTCATTCGGCTCTCACGCCCACACACTTCCAGTTGGAGCTCTGGCTTAAAAAATTCGACTTTATGAAACCTAAATTCATCTATCTCTAGTTGCGTAGTTTTAGAATATCGCTAACGTAGATCGTGGAGATGCATATTTCTTTGGGATGTGTTTTGTTCTTATGACCATAAAACAGTTGAACAGCAATTGGTTTGAAAGCTTGAAAACTTTAAAACCGCACACGTACTTCCTCAATTAAAGTGTGGTTCTCGTTTCTTATCGTGTAGCCTTGACTTACCGGCTCTTAGGGGCGTTGTTACTCTGTTTTGGTCGTCTTTAGAGTCTTATCGCGTATCAACAGCTCTTTAGTTACACCGGACTGCGCATTTGCATTTGTCTGGCAATCACTACGAAGCTCATCATTGGGGTGTCGTGCTCAGCCAAGTAATAGTGCTACTGGTGCTGTGATGCGCACAGTTGTCAGATCTTTGTCAAGGCCTCTGTTGTGTGCATTCCATTGGTGGTGCAAGCAGTCATTCACTGTTTAACACTGGGATTCCAAACTGACTGTCGGTTCCAATCTAGGGCTCAGAGTATATGGGGACGCACGATTAACAATCCTGGTGAGATTTCTTCAAAGGGGCCACTCTACTGAAGAGTTCATAATGGAGTTTTACTTCACACACCCAAACTGTGAGGATACCCTCGCATGAACACCATCTGTTGGGAGCGGATAGACCCAATTTTCTGTGTGTGTAAGCTGTCATATAATGGTTGCACAAATGTCAACGTCAAATGCTTTGTCTTCAGGTGAAAAAAGTTGCCACGACACATTCCGACCTCTGATCTTTTCTTGTGATTGATGTCTAGTTAAAACAGGGTTCCTCAGTGGCAGCCCTGTCTCTTGAGTTTCGGCAGCAGCATTTTGATTCGTGGAGATGATGGGTCCAAAAATAATAAAACTGTCTTCTTGGATTGGTCGAATTTGACATTGCATACTCTAGTTTTATTTCATGGAAAGAAACTTGATCCCTGAATGTCATGTACTTCTGTTGACCGCACTCGGTGGTTTGCTGCAAAAGTCTCAGAGACTGCAACCCAGTTGTGTCTTAGCGTTATAATGCGGGGGACATTGCAACGTAGGTAGAAGTTTAAGATCTCGAATTTGCACAGTCAAGTGCGGTCCGCAAGACGCCGAACGGAACAGGTGATCACACCTATAGAGTCGGTCGGATCGGTCTTCACCTACTCATAGTCGGCCGCTGAAGACTTGAGCTCTTTCCTTCCCTTTACCTGGTTTGGTTAGCCCGTCAATGCAATTGGCCCAGGCTTTAGTCACTATCGTATGCAGTAGCTGGCCACTGATGGGACCTACAGCTGTGACATGCTCGTCGCTCGC